AGAAAGGGGGGGTTAGAGGGGGTTGGCAGGTCCTGGAAGGTCCCTGTGAACACCTGGCAGGTCCTGGCAGCTCCCTATGAACACCTGGCAGGTCCCCATGAACACCTGGCAGGTCCTGGCAGCTCCCTATGAACCCCTGGAAGGTCCCTATGAACACCTGGCAGGTCCCTACGTGTCCCTGGCAGGTCCCCATGAACCCCTGGCAGGTCCTGGAAAGTCCCTATGAATCACTGGCAGGTCCTGGAAGGTCTCTATGTGTCCCTGGCAGGTCCCCATGAACCCCTGGCAGGTCCCAGCGTGTCCCTGGCAGGTCCTGGCAGGTCTCTATGAACTTCTGGCAGCTTCTGGAAGGTCCTGTGCCCCCCCAGACAGGTCCTGGCAGCTCCCCACAGGTCCTGGCAGCTCCCTACATACCCCTGGCAGGTCTCTGTGAACCCCTGGGGGGTCCTGGAAGCTCCATATGAACCCCTGAAAGGTCTCTATGAACGTCTGGCAGCTCCCTATGAACTCCTGGCTGTTTCCTACAGGTCCTGGCAGCTCGGTACCCCTCCCTGTGCCCCCCAAACAGGTCCTGGCAGCTCGGTACCCCTCCCTATGCCCCGAGACAAGACCTGGCTTGTCCCTATGAACCCCTGGAAGGTCCTGGAAGCTCCATATGAACCCCAGGCAGGTCTTAATGAACCTTTGGCAGGTTCTGGAAAGGTCCTGGCAGCTCGGTACCCTTCCCTGTGCCCCCCAAACAGGTCCTGGCAGGTCCCTATACCCCCTCAAACAGGTCCTGGCAGCTCCCCACAGGTCCTGGCAGGTTCCTATACCCCCTCAAACAGGTCCTGGCAGCTCCCTGTGCCCCCCAGCGGCTCCCCCCAGGTCCTGGCAGGTGTCTCACCGTGCGGCTCGGGCTCCCTGCGCTCGGGGGGCTCGTCCAGGGCCGAGATGGCCGAGCTGATGCTCTTCTGCAGGTCCTGGTTCTTGCTCACCGAGTCCTCCTCGTCGGACGAGAACGAGGGCAGCGTCTCCAGGTTCCTCTTGAGCTCCTCGTCCAGGCGCTTGCAGGGCGAAGGACACGCCATCACCAGCCCCTCGCCGTCCCCCCCCTCCAGGGACCCCCCCAGCACCGCCGGGGGGAAATTGGGGGCCCCCCCGAGCTTGGGGGGCTTGGAAGGGCTCGGGGGGAGGGGCTGGCGTTTGCCGGATTTGAGGAAGTCCAGGAAGGAGGCCATGAAGCCCGACTTCATCTCGGGCTGCTTCTCCTCCACCTCGCGCAGCTTCTGCTTCATGCGGCTCTGGGAGGGGTCCTGGGGGGGCTCCGAGA